AGCAGCGAGGTGTCTGGCGGCGGCATCCCCAGCAGCGGTTCCCTGCAGAGGAAGAAGCTCATCTCTATCTGCGACCACTGCAAGATCAAGATGCAACTGGTGGCTGATCTGCTGCTGCTGTCGAGCGAGACCAGGCCGGTGAACACGGAGAGCCTGTCTGTCTTCGGTGAGTCCTTCGAGAAGTGCAGGGACACGATCATTGCCAGGACCAAAGGACTCTCCATCTTGACCCATGACGTCCAGAGCCAGCTCAATATGGGACGCTTCGGGGAGGTGGGGGAAAGCCTGATGGAGATGGGGGAGCTGGTGGTCTCCCTGACCGAATGCTCTGCCCACGCTGCCTACCTGGCTGCAGTGGAGACTCCGGGGGCCCAGCCTGCTATGCCTGGCTTGGTGGATCGCTACAAGGTGACCCGATGTAGGCATGAGGTGGAGCACGGCTGCGGGGTCTTGAAGACCACCCCTTTGGCAGATATGAGCCCTCAGCTCCTGCTGGAGGTTTCTCAGAACATGTCTAAGAACTTGAAATTCCTGACAGACGCCTGCGTGCTGGCCAGTGAGAAATCCAAGGATAAATTTGCTAAGGAGCAGTTCAAACTCAGTGTCAAATGCATGAGCACCAGCGCCTCTGCCCTCTTGGCGTGTGTCAAGGAGGTCAAGACTTCACCCAGCGAGCTGACCAGGAACCGATGCGTCTTGTTCAGTGGACCTTTGGTGCAGTCTGTCTATGCTCTGGTGGGCTTTGCCACTGAGCCCCAGTTTTTGGGTAAAGCTGCCACCATTAATCCAGAGGGCAAAGCTGTGCAAACTGCCATCCTAGGAGGAGCCATGAGCGTGGTATCTGCTTGTGTGCTCCTGACCCAATGCCTCAGGGATATAGCCCAACACCCCGAAAGTAGCACCAAAATGAGCGATTACAGGGAAAGATTGAGGAACTCAGCTTGCGCCGTCTCGGATGGTTGCAACCTGTTATCTCAGGCACTAAGAGAAAGATCTTCACCCAGGACTTTACCGCCAGTGAACTCCAATTCTGTGAATTAACCCCCACATCTTCTGTTTAGATCCCAGTCATTGCTAAAGGAAAATAATATCCCACCTCCTCACCCCTTTTTTGTATACCAAAGAATTTGCTTGGATGAGCCCAATCCTTTGATTTCATGTGGTGAAGAAGCAGAACATACTCAAACTATACATACTAATAAAGGTAGCCGGTTTTGGCTTCTTTATATTTTACTTTAAAGTCAAGCAAGTATCTGCAGTTAAATTTTCCTTTATTCAACAAGGTCTTCGCACAAATGGTAATAACAACTGTTTAAAAGTTTTTTATATTTGGGGAGGTGGGGGTATCTTGAAAAAAAAAAAGAAGGAAAAAAAAAAAAAAGCTTTAATCGCGCTGGGTGCGGTTTTTAAAGTTTGTCTTGTCTTGTCTTCCGAAATTTCCCTTCTAAATTTTACTGTTCGGTTGTGCAGGAAAAAGGTTACCTCAGTTCTCACTCGTTTAAAAAAAATGAAAAAAACCCAACAACACATAGATGATGGATGTAGCTACTATTTTGTTTGGTTTTGTTTTGTATGACTTTTTTATTTTGCATCAAGTGTTAGGTTAGAAGTGCATTTGGTGTGTAGGAGTGGAAGGACTGGAGGTTGTGATTATGTTTTCCATGTGTTGATTTCCAAACTGGGGGAAAAGCTACTGTGAGTGTTTAAACAAACAAACAAAAAAATTACACTATAACAAAAGTGATTTTTAATTTTTTTCCAATGTCAGTTTTTATCTTGCATGTACTGGAGTATTTATTTCATCTATTAAAATGTTATGTTTCTCAGATGTCTTTCTGTGAATCTCTTAATACTTGAATAATTGAACAACTAGGCCTGTTTGCATTGTATGTCATTTTCCCCAGGGAATGGGTGGTACAAATGTAACTGTAGTTCTAGACAGCAGCATACAGGCTGCAATTCAGTTCTTTTATTTTCATAAATACTGTCCCTCCCGCAATACCACCCCTCCTCCTCCTCAGGACGCCTCTGACAGAGATACTCCGTGGTTGTATTTATGGAAAGCTGGACAGTGCTGCGTGCATCGGGATTGCTGTAGCTGCAGAGTGCTGGCGGCTGCTGCAGCGGGGCATAGGCTGGCTTTGTTATCCGTGTTATCTTTGAGCAAAGTTTGTGTATTTTAACTCTTGCAGATGTTGTGGGCCATCTGTGTTAAGTTTGTGAGTTTCCATATTAATTTATTAAGGATTTCTTGAAAAACTTTACCCTGTTGGGTAGCCCTGCTTGTTCCGTGTGTCTGCTTGGGAGTGTGAAGGTTTGCTGCAGGGGGCCCCTTGATTCCTCAGAGGTTTGTGTTCGAGCTCCTCAGTACAGATTTCTGTCAAAGTAGTTCTAGCTTGATGTTGCAGATAGCAGGAAAAGTTAGCTAACTTTTGAGGCCCAGTCCACATCCAGTTGAATTCCTTGGGAACTGTGATTGGACCTTAGGCTATACTGCAGTAGTTCCCGTAATTGCAATGATGATGATTTTTTTTTTTTTTTTCCCCCAGCCTGGTCTTTGTGGACCTGTGGGGTCTGTTGCCTTCTACATGTTCCATGAAAAGTAAATAGAAGAACAGGTCTTCTGGCAAGGAGGCTTTGTTTGTCTGCCCAGGTCCATTGCATAACTGTTTTTTTTTTGTATAGGTCTGCAAATTGAACAATGTTGAAAGCTATTGGAGAATGTACCTGTAAAATGTTGTTACCGTGGTTTAAACCTTTACTGTACAAGTACTGTCTTATTTATTCCTTTGAAGAAGTAAACCTTTTGGGTTTGGATATGGAACAGTCCTGGAATAGTGAAGGGTCTTCCTTTTATAGCATTATTGTTTCTCGCACATGATGCTTTTACTTCATTTCAAAGGGGAGTAAAACATTACTGGGTAGTGGACAAATGCATCCTGTCGAAGGAGATACAAGCTGAGCTTACATATCTGTATCTTCAGGGCTCAAAAAAATAATTCCATGACTTAAGTACGGTGGACCCCAGTATTATGTTTTGTTTATTTTTAAATGAAACTTTTCTGACTTCAGTGAATTGCATGATTAGGACTTTTCTTTGTGAAAAATCAGTCCCAGCTACATTTCTCTGGGGTATGATTTTCTCACTACGTTATCTCAGATAGAATATAACCCTATCAGTATATGCTGCAGAGGAATGGATGTCCTCATCTATGCGGTATAGTATAGAACTTCTCTTACTCATAAATAGATAAATTTATACACGTGCTGTTCTACCTTTGACTTAGATGCCTCTGCAGGTATTTCCTCAGAGGCACTCTCACACGTGTGTGCACACACGTTTTCCCATCTGGATGGCAGGAACAGCTGTAGGACTCCAGAGGGATTCATAGGAAGCCAAGGCTATCTACAGGGAGGTCTTATGCCTCTGTAGCATTTGCGGTTGTCTGCTCAACTATCCTTTGTATCTCCCTCCCTTTAGCATGTCTCCATGGAAGCCAAGATACTGTCCCAATCTCCCCTTCCTTCTTTTCTGCAGTTGCGCGGAGGGGAAAGAGGAAAAAGGGATTGTAGCAAACGTAATGCTTTCAGGATGTGCTATCTTCTGTGGCTGCAGACAGGAGGCAAGGAGCTGGCTCCACCCTTCCTTTGCATAGATCCTAGATGGTGCAGAACTTCGTGTGGGACGTGCGGAGATGGTGCTGAGGCGGCTGCAGGGCAGTGCTGCTCAGGAGAGAACAGGTACCAGGGCGGCATCCTTCAGCTCCAGTTCTTTTTAAGTTACCATGACCTACATTTGTGAGGCCTGCTTCCAGATATAAACAGAGGATTCTGAAGGGCAGCTCTGCAGCATGTCTGAGAAAAAAAAAAAGTAACGTCCTACTGGCTCTTTTGATGTTTCTACTTAATAATTTTTGGTGCTGCTGAACTAATTAAATTCTTTTTGATTTGTTTATATGTTACTGAGGTTATATGGATCACAGTGCAGCCTCCTTATTACCTCTGCATAAGAAAGGCAATATATTATTAATGATGATAGTGCCGATTTTTGTTGTGGTAAGATTTTGTTTTAAGTGGTTTAGCGCAGTTTTTGTTTCAACAAGGATACTGTAGATTGTTCCCCCCTTTCTGATTAAAGTTTGAAGTGAAGTACATGTGTACATATGTAAATATGTATCTCCTTTTTCCTTTTTTAACACTGAAGGAAAACAAACTGCTCAAGATCTTGAGGTTTTGAGGTGTGTGGGGTTTTGGGGGCTTCAGTTTTATAAAATAAAACGTGAAATGTAGCCAGGCCATGATTTTAGTTAACAGGCTGATTTAAAAAAATAATATATATACACAAATAGTAAATTCACTGAAGTAACTTACTGTAACATTTTAAAATTACGCTAATTTTAACACTTAAAAATGTTCAATCATTTCTTTCTAGAGTGGAACTCACACAAAGGGAGCCATGTGCTCCCTGGCCTCAGCTCAAGAGAGTATCTGTCAAAATCTGTGCTATTCATATAATTAGCACAGCAAAGTTAAAAAATTTAAAAAAAAAAAAAGGCTTTTGATGCAAACAAGTACAACTGTTTTTATGCACTCTAAGTGATTAACAGGAAAAAGCCTATATATACATTGCACATTGTGGCATTTTCTGAGCAAAAAGAGTGTGGTTCCACTACTAACCGTGAACATACCTATGTTTTAAATGCTGTAGTGCCACACTTAGAAAGACTTAATGTATATTGAGATATTTATTGGGAAGGTATTCCTATAGCATATTAATTCTGATATAAGACATTATTTCAGTATTCATGTTTGTTTACTTTGTACTTTCTGGGACAGAAAAAATACATAATGGACGAATTTTCAGGGTGCAGTTGCAGGCTACATCGAGGTCACTGATTATCACTTGGCATCATAATTTAGGCCCTTGTTGCCCAAATGCTTACTCCATTTGGGTCAACAGGTAGTGTCACTATTTCAACATAGGCTTAGACAAGCATGAGATGTGATTTCTGATCTAGAACCTTGGTGGTTTTGACAAAAGAGAGCTTAAAATTTCAAAGTCCTTATATCACTTATGTCATAGATCTACTCTAATAGTGCATTTAATAAAAGGGTTAACTTATTTCTAAACACATTATGCAATGCCCATTTGTTGCCAAAATTAACACTATCCCCACCAGAAGAGAATTAAGCTTATTTTTTAAAAGTAAGATTTTTTTTAACAGGGAAGAAGTTGTCACTTTTGTATTGTCTGTGAATTTGAAATTACCTTTTGGTTGCTGCTTCATCACATTGAGGTTCATTATCGATTTAATACAGCAGCTGAGTCTCAGAATTTGAGATCGGAGCAATGTGTTTTCTGATTCGAAAAAAGAAAAGTTTTGTAAGACAATCAGCAGCAAAATGCTATTGAAAAGCAAGTACACAAATGAAGGGAATTTGCAAATATAAATACGTGTTATTTTTCAGAACTAAGGAAAAAAAAAAAAAGACCATGCATCAGATAATTCCCTTCACTTTTTACCACAGGAAATGATCAAAGTAGCAGAAAATCTGCTCTTTTTGGCCAAACTTCTGTCAGAGGCAGAAGGGGTCGAGCCAACACATGGTGTATGCAGCCTTGCAGCAAGAGGGGATGTGGCTGATGGGAAAGGAGGTGTAACCAGAGAAAATCTGTAGGGTAATACCTCCTATTAAACCCACAGGAATTTTCCTATTCTAGATAAAACAGAGGCTGATCCAATAAAGCGAATCTCAAACAAGGCAACCTTTCTTTCCGGGCTGTGAGAGGCTTGTGAATGAAGATGTGGGGCTAGGAGAGTTTGGGATGCTCTGTGTCAAGCAGCTGTATTGCTGTAGGAAACCAAGGGCCTCCAGGGTTGCCCTAAGATATGTAAGAAGTACAGGTAAAAATGTGTACCTGCCAGAACAGTTTGGTGGGAAATGAAGGAGTGGTTCGTTCCCCCCGCCCCCCTTCTTCCCTATCAGGCTCTTTCTAGACTTTAAAAGCAGAAGCAGATTGTAGGGACCAATACATTTTACTGCTTTCTTCTTGCTGCCTGTGAAAGGTGCCAGATGGGCAATGATAAAGAGAGACATTCTCTTCCTGTAGCCCAGGGATAGCACAAATGCAGAGCTTCAAGGCTGCCCTGACCTCACAGGATCCCCATAACGTGGTGGTTTTTTGGGACCACCGGTTTCACTCTGACTTTTTGCCAAGAAACTGACAGCAAATCCCAGCAGCAACTTGACAGGGGCATCAAGACCATGACAATATTTCACACAGGACACCAAACCACTACCAGGTTTGGGTCATTCACAAATGGGCCAAAAAATATACAGGCTAGGTATGAAGTGCAAGGCCAGATATTTCATGTGACTAGCTTGGAAAATTAAATACTGTGTACTCTGAGAGGTGTTTATTTACTTAGGAATTATGAATTATCAAAATTTTTACGTAAGAGTTCAAAGGTGTATTTAATTAACATAATTAGCAGTACTCTTCTGAACCATTTTCTTAATGAAGACAGACACCTATGGACATGAAAGGGCCTCATCCATGACTCAATGAAGTCTGTGTAATTAAATATTAATATTTTCCACAAACTACATTAAAATGTTAAGGGTCATCTTGTGTTGCAGAGCGAGGAATTACATATTGATCCTCACTAGCCTGAGTCTTTTCCTAGAACTGTTTTTATTGTACCAGAGTCTGTTGAACCCAAGGGGTTTTTTTGTTTTGGTTTTTTGAAACCACAGAGTGTACGATGCTATATTCCGACAAAGTCAAAAGCAGCACTTCAAGATTAATGCAGAGATTCCTGGG